TCTAGGCCGAAGGCACGTGCGGGGCCAGGAGGAGGGTTGGGCCGGTCGCGCATCTTGGGCTGGCTGGTCATGTGCTTGGTCCAGATTGGCTTTCCTATTTTCTAAATAAACCAAGGCTCCTATATTGAATACATGTGTCGCCAACTTGTACACCTCCTAGTGGGGTCCACTAGAGGTCAACTAGGGGTAGTGGGGTCCATGTCAAAGGTTGGCAATTCACGGGTATTGAGTTGATAAAGATAGTTGGTTGATTATAGACTTTAGGTCAAGGGGTTCATGAGAGATTCCAGAAGGAGTCAAAAGGATTCGCTACGGACTTGTGCTCTCCAACACAAAACCCTAAACCAAATAAGGAACTCTGGCAAGCTCCTACAAGCAACACTATATGTATGCAACAATTTATTTATAAATTGTTCTTTGTTTTACCTAGCATCTACATACTTCACACATTGCAGGAAAAATTTTAAAAAGTTCATATTTTTTGCTTCTCCAAAAACCTGGGTTGTTACACGTCCTGCGGCTCTCGATGAACAGGCTCTCCGGCGTGTTCCCTCTCGGGTTCGAGAAACATCGGTCGCTCGCCGAGCTCTCCCTCAATCTAGTCCCTGTCGGCCGCCGCCGCCGTGAGCATGAGCAGCAGCTCACACGACGACAGCGACTTCGATGAGCCATTTTCCCTGCGAATCACCGGCCTCGGCACGAACTCTGACGAGCTAAGGCAAACCGAGGCGTGGCTGGCGTGGTTCGCGAGCGGGTGCCCCAACCTAAGATTCAAGTTCGAAGGCATCGTGGATGGTCCAGACTCCAGACAGTGGCTGCCATGAACGCATCAAGGTCGACAGCGACGCGACCGTGGTTATCAACCTGGTGTTCCCGGCAGCACAGAGATCGATAACGAGCACAAGAGAAAAATCGTCCAGCGCGTTGGCTCGCATCCGCTCCCATCAGCGTGCTCTTGGTAGAAAGACGCTCAGGCTTGCTTTCGTGGTTCCGCCGTTCACGGCCAGCCTCCGATACTTCGTCGCGGTGTTCGACTCGCTGCGAGTGCCTCCCTGCCGACAGCACCGAGAGGCTTGCCATCTAGAGGAACCACCTAGGCATGGAGATCAGCGACGCCATGGCTTCTTTTTTGTTTTTATCTTTTCAATTCAAGTTGCGTGGATACGGATGGAGCTGACGACGTTACTTCCGAACATGACGGAATGCTATTGTTAGGTAAAGTTTCCATCTTTCGATGGTATTTCACGTAACAGAGCTCATTCGATGGTATTTTCTGATTCTTGCAATCTTTTAATGCTATAGAATCAATTTTCCCTTAACTCTTTTATGAGTATACAAGAACAACTTAATTCAACACGAATTAAAACTTAATGCACCACCACCACTAGTACCAATACTTCAGGACAGTATAAGTTTAAAGACAATACAAGTAGCACATGGTTTAAGTTTTTCTTCTAGAGAAATCTTAAAAATTCATTACCCATTCTTATATGTCTTAGCTTCTATGTTTGACATTTAGCAGCTTCATGCATACTTTATTTCATAGTGGTGATATGTAATCATGATCCTTCTAGGAGTGTAACATATGCAAGTCATATATCCTGGTTCATAGAGCTGTCTAAAAATTCTAACTCAACTTCCATTTGAGTAATTTCTGATGATAAATTCAATACTTCATGTATTACATTGCTCTTTGATATTCTATACACAAGAGACATTTCTTCGAGAATATACATTGATAAAATCTTATTTACCATCTTGTCTTCTAGACATTTAATACAAAGATTCAAGCTATTGTTTATAGAGCAGCATTATACCTCGATCTATAGGCATACAAGCTTGAAAATTTGACTTTCGGTGTAATATGATATTCCGTAATCATAATTCAGGATTTTTCTCATGCAGTGGCCATGTTCGCTGGGAGGAATTTGGAGGAATCTGGATGAGTCTGGAGGAATTTGTGAGAAAGTAAACAGTGAATTTCATCCGCGCACAGTGAAATCTGGCTAGTTTTTGTACCAGCCGAACTGCCCCAGTGAGTCCCACAATACATTTGTTATTCCTCCTGGCCATATACTCATTCTAGAGAGTAATCAAGAAATATATCATGAGTTCACTACACTTCAATGGTAGCAAAATATCCTACATGAATTTAATAATGACTATAACAAATAATTCTACTATTATTCAGAGTAATTCCAGGAAATTTCTTCTTCTTTTGACGCATGCATATGTTAACATAAATTGGGCCATGTGCATATAAGTTTATTACATGTAAAGAGGTAGCAAGGTGCAAAAAGGTAATGGACGGTTATTCAAAAATATTCTTAGAAGCATCAAGCATTTTTCAGGATTATGATATATGCAAATTTTTAGAATTTATACCAGGCATTCGTTCATCCAAAAATTCTTATACTAAGAAAAACAAATATGAGCCTCTCAAAGGTTAGATTTAAAGAGCTCATATACCTTATACCATGTTTTAAGTATAATCATTAAAAAATTTATTCTTACAATTATACATAGTATAAAATTCATAATTTGTGATAAATAAATGCTTTTCAAATAGCATACGGATATCAACACATGGCATTTATACATGAATAGGAAATTGATACTGTAAATGAATAAATAGAAGGTGCAAACATACATCTTCTGCAGGAATTTGTATATGGCAAGCGAGTGATGTCTTGGCAACGGCGTACGTGCTAAATGTTGGTAACAACATTAGGGTGGCGTTTGGACCACGCTAAATTCTGGCGAGGGTTGTGATGTGATACCGGCGACTTATTACGGAGCCGCGTAGCAAGAGCGGAAGAGCAACGGTAGTTCGGTAATTCCTCCTTGTGGCACCAGACATGGTTGCTGCGAGCCAACCACACATCCATGTGTCGGTAGATACGGCACGTGGCGTGCGGGCCGCGTGGCAACCTCCTCATCGAATTCAGTGTGAGCTAGCGACGACTTCGAGTCAGCCTTGCGTAGTACGTATATGCTGCGTACGTGGGCGTTCAGTAACGTGCAGGCTTTGTAGAACAGGGCCTCTTTATACCGGGGTTAAGGATCAGTATTTGGTACTGTAGCATTTTTTTTTGTATTTGATAATTATTGTCTAATCATGGTCTAACTAGACTTAAAAGATTCGTCTCGTAATTTATAATCAAACTGTGTAATTAGTTATTTTTTTATCTACATTTAATACTCCATGCATGTGTCCAAAGATTTGATGTGATAGAGAGAGTGAAAAAAACTTACAATCTAAACAAGGTCCAGGCTGCGAGCCTGCGAGGAACTGACGTGCCAGTAGATAGCACCTGCTGCGGGCAGCATACCGGTATGCGATCTGGGACAACGACACCTAAAATACAAGACTCAATCGTCCTTTAGATAGCGTTATAAACAAAAAATTCAATATTTATTCAACATCTTCTCCAACAATCAGATCTAAAAAAGAATCCTTTCTACAAATGGGTTTATAGGAGAGAAAATGTTCATATTTGGGTTGTGTCTCTCAGGCAATCTAAAATAGGTCTCCCGTATAGTTACTCTGTTGGAGGCTGATTTTGGGTCTCTTGCTCATATGAGTCTCTTGGCCCCGTTCGCTTCGCTGAAAAAATAAATCAAAATACTGTTCCAGCTAATTTATTGTGAGAGAAAAATACTGTTCCGATTAAAAAATAAAGCTAAAAAGTACAGATTATAAAAGAACCGAACGTGGCCCTCGTTGGAGACAGTCTTAGGATTCAAACAAAGGATTCGGTCCTGTAAGATGGGTTGCCTGTGCAGCGGTGCAAGTTGAGCTAGCCGGCGGCATGCAAGCCACTGACAGCTTCAGCGATATGGCTGTCCGATCGGTGACAGTGTCGGATTGACTGATAAGTCTCAGCTAAAATCAATAATATGCTGTTTATATGAACGTAACTGTTGTGTCATGATTGGCTTCATGCCATGACCTTCGAGGCATAAGAAATTAAAACACGTAGATTGAACCACCACGAAGATTCTCTGGTCCGATCCTTTAGATCAATTTTATCAATATTTTTCTTTTACCTAGCTAGGTTGATGTCAATCTGATCTACTCCACTTGCCGCGTAAGGTAGTTATCAATAGATACATACCGCGTAGCGTGTTTGGCATTGTCGTAGAATTGCATGCTTGATGACGACCATGCATGTCGATGCAGTGCAGATTGGTAGCAGACAGAGGTAGCAGATCCGTTCCGCTAACAACGTCGGGGATGTCGACGTCGTCGAAGTAATCGCCATGAGACGTCGGCTCAAGTGTCGGTGTCGAAGATCGGCGGCAGATTCAACGGCGATGTCGACGTAGAGCTTTTCGTGCTGATAACGTGTTATAAAACATGTTGCCAGCGATTCGAACATTTCCCTCTTCGTCTCTCATAATCAACATAGTAGATAAAATTAGAACACATAGACACGAGAGATAGGGAGACTATTCTTTATTCCTCTCAATATTGGTAATTATAACATAGAGCTCCTACGTGTGTGTGTATATATATATATATATATATGGAGAATGACGTTCTTGCCCTTGTCCAGTACTTCAATTATGATTTTGCCCCTTTTTTAACTTTGTGATTTTATCCTCGCTTTTTTCAAACGAAGCTCCCGTCCGTCTACCCCTGCTTTGTAACACCGTCTAAAATGCTGGGATTAAATGGTAAAAAAAAAGAAAAAGAAAAGACACCTACATGAAAAGACAATGATACCCCTCAGTCCTTTCTCCTTTCTCACCCGTTCGCTCGACCCGTTCCCGACGAGAAATCGCAGCTTGCAGATGGTTTCGCGACCTGGCAGCGGCGCAGCTCCTCCTCCCTCCTCCCCCCCCCCCCCCTCCGGCGTGGCTCATCCTCCCTCCTTCCCGCTCCCCCCGGCGTGTCTCCTCCTCCTCCCTCCGCCACACTCCAGCGGCGCGGCTCGCGTGTTAGGGTTTGGGGAGTACCGGCGGCGGCGCGAGTACTGGCGGCGGCGCAGCTCATCTCACTCCGCCCGCTCCTCCCCAGGCTTGCGCCCGCAGTGGCTGGGGCATCGCGTGGCCTGCGGCGGGCTCTGCCCCGACCCCTCCCCCCGGCTCGCGCCCGCTGCGTTGGGGCCTCGCGGGTGCACGCCGCCCACCTTCCTCGTCTTTTTCCTCCTGCTGGCCGTCGCTGCTTCGGCGACGGACATCATCCTCCCCGGCGCGGGCATCTCCGGGAACCAGACACTAGTGTCCAAGAACGGCGACTTCGAGCTGGGATTCTTCGCCCCGGGCGCTGGCATCCACCACTTTTTGGGCGTCCGCTTCAAGAGGATGCCGAGCACCAGCCCCACGTTCTGGGTCGGGGACAGGGTCGTCATCTCCGACCTCTCCGCCGCCGCGCTGGAGGTCTTCGCCGGCAACGTGTGCATCACGGAGGCCGGGTCTACCCTCTGGTGTTCGCCCGTGGCTGGGGACACGCCGGGCGCCCCGCCGCCCGCCGCCGCCGCGGTGCTCCTCGGCAACGGCAACCTGGTGGTGAGGGACCAGACCAACGCCTCGCGGGTCCTGTGGTAGAGCTTCGATTCCCCCGGCGACTCGCTGCTCCCCGGCGCCAGGCTCGGGCTCGCCGGCGACACGGGGGCCAACGTCTCGTTGACGTACAAGGATTACTCGCACAATGGCAGCGTCAGCGTCGACCGGAGCAGGAGGAATGGGTTCGTGCTCACCACCGATGGGCATCCCAGCCTGGGCACCTTCCCAGATTGGATGGTGACATGACCAGACAATGGCAGCTCGCTGGTGCTGAATCCTCCGGATAATCCTAATCTGACCGAGTTCTTGCAGTTCCACCTGGGGCAAGTCAGCTTGATGCGGTGGTCAGAGGATTCTGCAGTGGCAAATAGCAGTGGCTGGGTAGCTCGTTGGACCTTCCCTTCAGATTGCAAATCCAGTGGCTTCTTCTGTGGCAATTTCGGTGCTTGCACGAGCAATGGCAGATGCAATTGCATCGATGGATTTGAGCCTTCCTATCCAACTGAGTGGAGCCCCGGATCCTTTGCTACTGGTTGCTCGAGACCGAGATCTCTTCCATTGAGCTGCGAGACGAATGGCCAGACTGAACATGATGACTCTTTTATCCTGCTGGACAAGCTGCAGGGGCTCCCTTATGATTCTCAGAATGATTTAGCAGGAAGTGATGAAGATTGCCAGCAAATGCTACTGTGTCGCGTATGTGTATGACTCCGGATGCAAGTTGTGGTACTACAACCTGTACAACCTGAGTTTTGCTTCTAGACCTCCATACAGCAAGGTTTATGTTCGTTGGGGCTCCAAACTCAGGGCCAAAAATATAGCAAAGGTGCTGCCAAAATTTTGAATATTTATCAATATTAAATCTGAGTTCAAATAATTGCAAGTTGTGCCAAATATGTTTGACCAAATTTAATCAATTGTCAGCATACAATAAAAAAGTATAATTCCAAATCAGGGTAAAATCACAATTAGGCATAACAAACAGAGGCAAAATCGCATGGGCATTCATATCCTTTTGTACAAAGTTTAACACCGTTAGGGGTGAATGACGGAGCAGGGGTAAATTGGTGCTTCGTGAATGGCACAGTAGGGGTAAATTCACAAAGTCAAAAAAAATAGGGGCAAAATCACAATTTCGATACAAAACAAGGGTACAAACGTAAGAGCCCCATATATATATATATAGTCCTGCCAAGGTCTAAGAGTTTGGTAAGAGCCCACATACAAACAGATTAAGATTAGGATTTCTCTTTCTCCTTTCCTTCTAAGATGGAGTCAGTATGTTTTACAACAAGCAGAGCTTCACAAAGCCTCATGCAGGGATTAACACAGTTAGGCCAGGTTCTCCCTCCCTCGATTCCTCTTTTGCGGAAGTACCACCTGAATTCCTTGCTAGGGAGCCTTGTTCAATGTTCATGCCATCAGCATTCTGCACTGTTGCTGTTACTAACTTGTAATGTTAGTCTTGTAAGGCAGGGTACGCATGCTTCACGGTTGATGTCCTGTTTCCAAATCTTCGTGGCTTTATGAGCCCCACAAGTTATGAGTCTCGATCCACTGAAATCAGAAGAAATATAGCATTGTATGTTGGCATTGCTTGCCGATGATCATGCAACATCAGGTACCAATTCTACATTATGACTCGAATGGTCTGCGAAGAAGGAGCGTGCCATGGGAGATTCAACAATGGCTGATTGCGGCAAGCAGATACCACGGGCATATCTGAAAACCTGACATCACTAGCAACTCTTTGTATGTAGAGGAAAAAGAATGTGGGCCAAGCAATGACTGTCTTACCATGCACCAAGGAATGCACGACGCAAAGCAATGCACTGTAGTTACCAGGCTGGACTATAGTTCGCTGTTGTTGAAAAAACATTCAGGCTACTCTTCCAATCCCCAAGCCACATTTTTGCAGGTGATGACTTGTGGGGCTCAAAAGCCACGAAGATTTGGAAATACATGTGTTAGCAGTGACCGTTTGCAGGTGATGCCTTGTGGGGCTCAAAAGCCCCAAGTTACATATTTGCAGGTGATGCCTCATTTTTCCTGAATGAAAATCTCAATACATGTGTTAGCAGTGACCGTTGACTGCGTTGGAAGTATGAAAATAATTGAGGAAAACTGAGTTGAGATTTCTTCTAATCACCAAACAACAGGTTGATCTGGAGTCTGGAGTTCTGGACCCTGGGATCCAAGTGAGACCATGTGTGGATCATGATAGTCTGATACTTAAAGAAATTTCAAATAAAAAAGGTAATGAAGACAAGGGTCTGTTTGGTACACAAATTTTATAAGAATTGTATAGCAACTAGAAAATAGACTAGGCAGGGTATCTGAAAGTAAGAAGGGCGGGCCTGGTGCAAACGGTAGAGTCTTATCGCCTGTGACCGGAAGGTCTCCTCACATTGCACAGGTAAGAGTAAGGCTTGTCACTTGTTAGATGTATAGGACGTGTATGTGTTTTCCCTCTACTTGGAGGGCTTCTTTGCACATATACACTATGTATCCTTGCCCTCTTGGGCCTTGCAATACAGTTGGTTGGCCTTATTCTAGTCCTTCTAACATGGTATCGAGCTAGGGTTTGCATCCTTACCTTCTGCTGTTGAGCGACGCCGGCGATTTCTGCCCAACCCTGCCGGCCTCCGCAACCCACCCTCGCGCAGCTCCGCCCCGGCCATCCGCCCGCACGCGTGGCTCCTGCGCCTCGCGCCCGTGCTGGCCCGCCGCCCGCTCGCGCGGCCCTGCGCGCCACCGCTTCGAGCACGGTTGTTGACTCGTCGTCCGCGCCCATCGCTCTCAGAGGCAATGCCTGAGTTACGAGCTGAGGAGACACGTCTTCGAGCTGGGGGTGTGACTCGTGTTCCGCCGCAGCCCTCCGTCCTAGTAGCCACACCTCCCCAGGTCTCTCCGCCTCCGTCTCAGCCCTCTCCTGTGGTGACGGGGGCACCTTCTGGTATTCAGTGTGGCTACTGCAAGATCTATGGTCATGAGGAGAAGGATTGTCGCAAGAAGCAGCGCGACCGATCTAGGCGTCGTGGCAGACATTCTTTTTAGGGCTCTGGTGGTTCCTCTACTTCATAGAGCACTCGTTCCGTGTCTGCAGCGGAGCAGGAGGTTCTTGCCCTGTTTCGTCGCCTCACTACTGCAGCTCAGGCCTCCGGTCACGGGACTACAGCTCAGGCTTCTAGTTTCGCTCCTCCTCCGTCAGGTATATCATCCCCATGGTTCCTCGACTCCGGTGCCTCTTTTCATATGACACCTCATGCAACACACTTGTCCTCTCTATCTTCCCCCTATTCACCTATTTATGTTCGCACCGCAGATGGCACTTCTTTTCCTGTTGCTGGGAGAGGTGTTCTTTCGACCTCTTCGTTTAATATTCCTACTGTTTCGCATGTTCCCAAACTAACTATGCAACTCTTGTCTGCGGGTCAAATCACTGATCATGGCTGTCGCATAATCCTTGAGTCTGATACTTGTGTTCAGGATCTCCATACGGGCCTTTTGGTGGAACCTGGGCCTAGGTGTCGGAACTCCCAACGCTTCTGGGAGCTTGATTGGTTGCGTCTTCCTTCACCCGTTTTGGATACCACATCACCCAGTTCTCCAGCATTCGTGTCAGCTACTTCGTCTACCACTTCTTTTGCGCAGTGGCATCGTCGTCTTGGTCACCTCTCTGGTTCTAGATTGTCCACCCTTGTTGGTAGTGGTGTGTTAGGTCCTATTTCTGGTGACACTACTCTTCATTGTATGGGTTGTAAACTTGGCAAACAGATGCAACTCCCCTACCCTTCTAGTGAGTCTAAGTCTCAGAAACCTTTTGATCTTGTTCACTCTGATGTATGGGGTCCAGCACCTTTTGTTTCAAAGGGGGGTCAATCATATTATGTTATTTTCATTGATGACTATTCGAGATTTACCTAGATTTATTTGATGTCTTCTCGTGGTCAATTTCTTTCTATTTACCAGCAATTTGCCACCATGATCCGTACCCAGTTCAACTCTCTCATTCGAGTTTTTCATGCGGATTCTGCTGGTGAGTACATCTCCACTACTCATCGTTCCTGTAACACCCCGGTGTTATGCCTACATTTAGGCACTGCAAATCATGCATATCATGCATCACCAAGCATCCTAATCATACATGCATAATCTTGCCTATAATAACTGAAACATTACTTCGAAACATACGAAACATGTTTGTGAAACGTAAATGATGCATACACTTATTAGAGTTGTTTTGCTCTGATTCTTGCTTGCTAGGTTAGTAGAACATGTTTGGCTGCTATTGTAAATCATCTAGCAATGTTTAGTTCAATTTTTGGAGCAATGTTTGTATTCCAATTTAATTCAAAATTCGACTTCAAAAATAAATTCCAAAAATTAGGGTTTTGAGCTAAACGTGGACTTTGATCTTCCAATTCAAAATCTAGAAAGAATTTGGCTGTGGTCCTAAAAGCAAAGTTGTAGAGAATTAAATTCTAAGCAACTTTCATTTTGGTACATTTTCAAAAGAGGTCATCTTCTTACTCAAAATAAGATTTGAAAGCTGGCTTTTAAAAAGTTCTTGAAAATATAAATGAAAAAGATGTTTTTACATTGGCAGGCCACCGCCCTGCCTCGCTGCAGCCCGAAGCCGAGCCCAACACCTCCCAGCCTCCACGCCTTAGCCTTTCTCGCCTCGCTCGGCCCAGCCCGGCACAGCCGCCGCGCCCGCTGCCTCCGCCATCACTTTGCCTGCCGCGCCATGCGCCCGGCCGCGACAGGAAGCTTCGCCTTCGCCAGTGGCCGCCTATGGCGACAACGCCGCCGCCACAAGGTGCCCACGGCACTGCTTCACCTCCACGCGCGCTTTCTTCGCCCCTTCAGCAAGCCTCCTCTCCTCGCACTCCTCGCTTTCGCCGCCTTGTCTCCCCCGCCTCTTGCTCAAGAAGAAGAAGAAGCCAAGCTGCTGCCGCCACCGTCGCCGCCTGCGCCGACGACGTGCTCCACCGCCCGATGCTTCATTCTTCGATTCATCTCGCCCGGAGCTCCGCCGCGCCTAGCTCCTTCGCTTGCGCCACTCGTGGCTGCCATCGTCAAGGTAAGGGCGAGCTCGGCCGTCCCCTTTCTCGCCCGTGGCGGCTGCCGTGGTCGCATGGCACGCCACGACGCCGGCCACCTCTAACCTTCCCGTGAGGTGCGGCTCAGCGTGGGAGCCCATACGATACCGCATCATCTTGAGGAGCTCCGCCGATGAGCACCGGGCCGGCGGCGCCTCCTCGCCTGGTCGCTGACCCGGCAGGCTCAAATTAGAAGATGGCGTGGCCTTGCCCGTACGAGCCGGGCCAGTAATGGGCTTGGGCCGAGCCCCGAGCCAGCGCCGCTTGCCCCCTTTCGCTCGGTCTGAGCAGGCGGTTGTGGGCCGTGGGCAAGGTGCATCCATGAGCGGCCCGATGAGAGTTTTGAAGAATTGATTTCCATTTATTCATTC